AATTTTTTTTAGTCGGTCGACCCCCTTTTTTGAAGATCCTGATCTGGCCAACTCGTAAAAGCGGCCGATGGGGTCGGGACCAGGTCCATTCATCTTGTCTCGTCGCCCCGATTCCAAAAATACCCCTATGTGCCCTGCTAGCACCAATAATGGCGGAAATCCCCCTCCCGCTCATGTAAACCATGATGCACCTGCAGCAGCCCTTGTGCGACCCGGACGGGATTTGCACCACCGGATTATTTGTTTGGACGGTACTCCTGAAGTACCCTCCAAATCTGGTTACTCTAGCTCAACTCCTTCCTTGTACACAGATGCCAACAACAACAACAACAACTACAACAACAACAACAACACACAGACACAAAGGCAAATGCATAGGCCCTCCCCCTATTTTTTGAATAGAAGGGCGGGCCAAAAATCAATTGTGGGTCACGAATCAATTGTGGGTCATTTTTTTCGACGGGTCACCGCAGACCCGACGGAGATTGAATCGATTCGAATTTCGCGGTAGACCTTCCTCCTATCTTTCTTTGTCTCCCCAAATAGCGTTTTTGTCCGAGCGACGACTGTGACAGCTCCTATCAGGCTTCAAAGACAGGCCCTTCAAAAAGTCGTGAAAAAAGCGCCCATCCAACGAGGCGAAAAATCGTGCGTTTTTCAAATTGCCACCGTGAAGCTATTACGAGGTAAAATGGGACGCCCTTGCTGATTTAGGTTCATAATAGGTCAGGGAACATAAATTTACCATAGTACAGCCAAAATCATTCAATGCCATGGTGCGCGGGTGATGGCAAAGTAGCGTTCGCTACCATGTCCGACCCATTATTTTCGACGAATTTTACGGTAGTTTTTCTTATATTTTTTTTGTTTTCTGCGCTTCTGAATGACTGATGTATCACAGTAAATTCTATTTTTCTGCTCTGTCACATTTAGTACTACGATACGAAGGTTGTTAAGCTTAGGCTACAGCCCCGAATGACGACGCTAGCTCTTTCTTCCAGTCTGCCATAAGGCTTTTTTTTGTTGGGGAGGGGGGGGGGGCATTGCGGGGCTTACATAGCGCCCGGAAGGGGAACGCTCTCTAACTGCAGGCTAGGCACTCGAGGCCAGTCCGGCCCTGTTAAAACGAGTCAAATCAATCCCTAGAGACTAAATATTCTGACTGAAATAGATTATAAACTGTAGCAATACCTCAGGATGAAAGGGTGTAGTGTTGGATTGTCTACCACACAGGCGGCCCTAGAATATGCACTATAAAAGTCTCGTCTCTAATCCAGGACGTTTAACTCACATCTGTCTCACAGTGAAATAAGCCTGATTATGTATTTTTCCTCTTTGAGTGAAAAACGTGCCTGCTTGGTTTATTGAGAACCAGGGACCTTTCATTAATGAAAATAAGAAAATATCTTTCAAAAGTGGTCAATTTACAAGCAAAAAGACGAAATGGCCCACAATTGATATGACCCACAATTGATTCATTGTGCTACAGATCCTGCAGTTTTCACGATTCCAAAAAATAAATTCAAAAGTGAATTCCTTCCGCATTTAAGCAAATCATATCCAAATTTGAGCTTTCTACAATGCTGACCCACAACTGGTTCCAAAAATCAATTGTGGGCCAAAACAGACTATTTTTAAAACAGCCAAAGCTTAGTAAACAAGGATGATAGACGGGGCTACTATGCTTCAAAACTTAGTCCAAGGACCATAGTAAAAGGCCGCACGTGCACTTTTGTCACCAGGTCAAAATTAAAGGCCTTAATTTGGAATTTTCAAAAAATGTGACCCACAATTGATTTTTTACCTTACCGGCTTGTCGTCTGGCGCTGGTTCGAATCCTGGCGAGGCGCGTTGGTCCAGTGATGAAATCGCTGTCCAAAGACTCGCGATGTAGTTTCTCCTTTCGCTTTCGGCTCGTCGTCTGCTTGTTTGTTGACAGCGCGGCCGTTCTGCGGATAGGGAGGCTGCTTCGAATCGTGCGCTTTGCGCGGCGGGGTTGGCAGTCTTGGAGACCTGGCCTGTCATTGGCTGACGCGGCTCGGGTGCAGATAGCGCTCCTGGAGGGCCGATAGTCGTTGGCCGTCTGCTGGACGTTGGGTTCGGAGGTTAGGGTTTTCTTTGTGTTTCGTTTTGAATTTAAGTGTCGCGTGACCTGGCCGTGCGCCGCGGTGCAAGCGTTCATCTTGTGATTTTCAAAACGATAGTAAAAGCCGCTTAAAGCGTTGAAAGAAATTGAGGTCCCATCTACCTATGATTATTGCACTGAAGATTCTACTTTGCTAAAATCATAATGTGATGCCAGTATAAATGCCTGTACACATCACATTATGAGCTAGACAGAGAGTCTTCAGCGCAATAACAAGGTACAGGACCACAATTGCTATCAAAGCTTTTACAAAGGTTACATGGCATTTTTTCAATGGTTACATACACGATACAAAATTGTTTCAAATGAAAGGTTATATGATATTTTCAAATGGAATACATTTTGAAACGTTACATGTTGATTACATGAGGTTACACATACACTCGCAAGGTGTACCTGATAGGGGCTCGGCACACCCCACAGTTGTTCATTGATGGTAAACACAGTGTACAAGTGAACAGGTGAGCACACGGGAGGACGACTACGTCGACCCCCCTTTCAAAACAGATTTTACATATGATTTTGTCGTGGGCTTTGCAGTGCCCCTGAGTAGTACTTGGCTGAGAAAGGTGTGGTTTGATGACATTTTGAAAGTGTACTGGGACATTTTCAATGGTTTGCAGTTGTGTTTGGACTTTCTGCACGTACTCTTTGCCTAGTAGTCGCACTAAAAATCCACAGTAAGGTGAGTATGTCGCATGCTCAAAGGCGACATCGTCGCTCTCTTTCCACTTTCCCAACCCTGTTCCACAGTGGAAGCACATGACTGCATCCTTTACTCCTGTGTAAAAGAAGCCGTTTTCAGCAAGGGCTTGTGGTATGATTTTTATGTCTTTTGGCCAACGTTTGAATGTCTCCATTCTCTTCTCTGCTGATTGCATGTCGGGGAAACCCACGGAACAGTGTAACTTGTTCGGCATGGCGTTCAATGTGAGATCGATCAACCAAACACCGCCTTGTGGACTTGGCATCAAACAGCCAAGGTGTCAAGCTACGCGGGAAGCTTTCAAAATTCAAAATCGCACGATTCGTTCTTGAGTTATTGCAGCCCAAACAGAAATGATCCATGTTTGGTACCCTGATCCATGTTCGGCACTTTACCCTACGTGAAAACCCGGTAAAACAGAGTATAGTGATTATAGTAAAGGTAATCAGGGAATGCGAATGAATTTTAGAAACGGCCTCATTCTATGGGTATTGTATTCACACAAGGATAAACATTTAATTATAAATGAGAAATTGATCAGTAAACAAAAACAACATACAAAAAACTTAATGTTGACGTGAATACAAAATAAAAATAATCCAATTCATCACAGAAGATTCCGAAGATCACCCTCATACTCGCAATCCCAGTCCTCCTCCAGGATGTCCACAAGCTCGACACAAGGGATCATGCATAGACGAGGATCTCCAGTAGCAGCGGCGGCCCCCTCTACCTCGGCAAATACGGTAGTATTACTACCAGCAGTACACATACTGCCAGGCACACTACGGGGCCTTGGCACGGTTGTATCAGATTTGAGTTGTGTCAGGTCGTACTAAATCAACAAATACGAAAAAAAACATTCCCATTTGTAATCGAAATCATGTAAATTTTCAAAAGAGGCATTATTCCTAAATTTACGGATACTTACATAACAAGGTTCCCGACATAGACAGCATACATATGAGTCCAGATCAGCATCCTCCGCAAGTGCATCTATATGGTACACAGCTCCCGGGAGGGCTGGCCGAAGCCACAACGGAATTCTATGATTCCTCTTCAGAAGACGCGCCACGCACTCACAACAAACTTTTTGTTGTGCCCCACTCTCGAGAGACACAACATACAAAGACGCAATATGCGCCACCAGCTCACGATTTCCGGTTGACTCCATTTTTTTTCTCTCCACGACAAAACCAGTAAGAAAAAAAAAACAACTTTGAAAGGCAAATAATAAAGCAGAACCAAAAACAAGAACTGACACAGGCTCGGCTAACCGACGGGACAACAACTGGAAGATCGTGAGAATTGCAATATCAGCGGTGCACAGCTTCCCGGGTAACTTGAAACTTTGCATGTGCATTCATTACCAACATAAAATCTTTTGTTCGATATTGAATACTGAAATTTTTTAAACAATTAAACATTTATGTATACATGGAAGTCCAATATAACTCAAAACGCAAAACGATAAAAGAGCAACTTTTAACTTCGGTGCACAGCAGTGATGCAGGCGGCGAAGGTACATCCGCACAGTTGGCAGCACGCCGCTTCGTTAACCTCCGTAGGGATCACAGGAGTTGACGACAAGTGACGATAGCGCGCGAAAGATTCAAACGAAAACAAGACTAGTTTCATAATAGAATTCTAGCAAAGTATTAAATTACACAAAATTTAACAACGAGGTCGTTGAATATTTGTCCACATCGCCCAGAATAAGGTTTTGACACAGATAGACAAAAGTAAAGAATATAAATTATTAATATAGCATCCACATTCATTGCATCCTGTTTCAAGTTGGTGTACACTGTTAGAAATTTTTGTGAAATTACGAAATATTTAGACACAAAACATTTCGTAAAATTTGTTTGATGAAATGTTGTCATAATTTCAAGAAACATTCCTCATAAAAACAGAAAATAATCTGTAGAATAACGACACAAATTTTGTTTTTATAATAAAATATGTTGTAAACAGCGTTTACAAAGTGTTCTTTAAATTCCATGGTGCATTTCATAGATGTACAAAGAATATTGACAAGGAATATTTCTTGATTTCACGATGCAGTTAGTACTTTCAAGATGTAGATATCCTAAAAGACTTACACGAACAAATCTCAAATTTTGATGAAATATATAAAAAAAACACGGAAAAGAAGTCACAAAATATATCGTATTTTTAAAGCTTTATGAATTAAACCTATGGAATGTATCTTAAATTTACTGAATATTTCATGCAATGCAACAAGTCCGATATTAAAAGAACTCAACAAAATAAACCGTTCATGCAAGTGAAGAAGTTACTCTCATTCTTTTGAAAGTCTTATGGCATATGGCGATCATGATATGTGTTATTATTTCAGTTGGGCAGTGACATGTTTGACCAATCCGATGAGAATTCTCTGTTCGTCGATAACAGCTTGCCCTCAAGTATACATTACCAACAAATCTGGCCATGGCAATGACAGTTCTGGGGTTAACCTGTAGCACTTCATGTTCAACTTGTGGACTTATCGGTGCTTTAAAAACATCAGGAAAAGTGTATGATCCATATGAAACGACTAACTCGAAACACAAAGCAAGAAATAAAAACGCAAGACGAAAACTAAGACGGTAAAAATTGCCTTTGCAGATCGGCATAAAATCTTTCGCGTCGTCTGCCGGTTGTTTGTTTTCAGGTTCACCGTGCGACGTGCCCTTAAAATTTCTCATCCCAGACTTGTGAGATATGAAAAATCCATCGGGAGGTGGAGTCCACTGTTATTGTTGATTTTCGCAGACGACCGAAGTTATCCCTCTTCGCCCCCTGCAGCGATGGTTCGTTTTCGAAAAGCCAAGTGGGCCGTCTGAAAGGGGAAGCATTGAACTTTGTCACGGTACAATGGACAACATCGCCCGCTGGCGCCCCCTCGAGCGCGCGCCTGGTAAACCAAACGGGGCCAGAGGGAAGATTCGAACGCAGCCAAGCTGTGTGAAGCCGCGACACTGAGAAGTGGTTTACATTTTTATTTCTCCGTTCTTTAAGCCATTTTATTCATGTGCGATCCTCTGCTTGAACCTTTGATTGATCATTAATGCGTGCCGTGCCCTCGTTTCTTTGTGTCACTTTGCTTTCACTCTGCTTCCTTGATATGCTTTGTGATTGTGAGGGACATAACCCCATCTTCGTAGTTGAGCAAGCTTGCTGCAGAATGTTTTGCTCAAATCTTTTCTGTTCCCTAATATACTGCTTTGTTGTTTAAGGATTCGAGGTGGATTCAGTGTTGATTGAGCTGTGTGGAGAAGCAGCAAAAGTGGCTGATGGTTCTACATGCAACGACTGTTTGGAGATACTCGGCAAGACGACACTTTCTACAGGTAAGAGGTCACTTTTTGCATAGTTGAAAAAGTATTGTTATTGTTTGAGCGTTTACATTATCTATGGTGGAATGAAAAAGTAGATTTTGTAGTGTTTATCAATTGAATGTTGTCATAGAATTCAGGATTTATTTTTCATTTAAGTCTGCCACCAAGCTTCACAATTTATTTAATGTCAGATGTTTCACCTCACGTTTATGTATTGTCGTGTGACTGACGGTTTATGCTGTCTTAGCTCAGATAAGTGTTGAGATTCCTTTGCTTTTTAAGTGAGTTGTCAAATGTGTGTTAATCGTGTTCCAGACTTCCAGACCAGTGGAGCGCATGTTGAGGCCTGATTCTTCAAAGGTGATGGGATGCTCGCTTCTCATTTTTGTTTCTGACTGTTCATGGGTGCACTCGTCTCTGCATTCTACCACACGCTGTTTTTGTAAGTGAAGAATCAACGCTAACCCTGAGTAGGTTAAAACCTCCAGCACAACTTATTTAAAAGTTTCCTATATTTTCATTATTATTGTGCTGTCTTTATTTCAGGACCTCTGCTTTGGTGTGGTTGCTGTTTCTTCACCAACTCACCAACTTACGTGGGCTCATCCTTTCCATCCAGACTGCATGGATCATCGATTCTGAATTTATGTGGTTGATGTCTAGTGAAGAGATGTGTCTTGGTAGTCTCCATGTGAGTGAGGTCTTTTATAGATTTGTCTCTAAATGCAAGTAGATTTTTTTTTTCGTATTTGAACATCTCTTAGGTCTGAATTGCCATTAAGTACAGCCTAGAGCCACATATTTTGTCAATCTTGTTGGTTTTTTGGGTTGTGTTCCTCGGTTGTTGTTCCTTCTGAACTGACACCCCTTCACTTGTATAGACTTTCATTAAATTTACTGCAGCTGAGCTTATTTTTATGTTTCCTGATATGCAGCTACAGTGAAGTATTTTCTGTCTTTCTATAAATTTATACGAGATTAAGTTTGTTTTTAAGAAAGGAAGCCTTCTAGTATGTTTAAAATCTGTCATAAACATATTTTTCTAAGAATTTCAAAGTGCATTTGTAAGCAGCAGGCCAACCGAAATCAGAGCGCTGCATTTTGTGTTGTTCTGTAAAAACAATCTGTTTGAAATGTTTTTGTTTGGTTTATGCTTGTGGATACGGAATTTGAAAAGGATTTGAAAAATTACAACAACTTCAACACTTTTTGAACTTTTTTTCTGATTATGTCTATGGAATTATGTAATTATAGCCTTGTCTGTTGGCATTTGAATCTGTAATTTTGATGTAAAGTGTAGTTGGCTATTTCTTTTCTCTGTTGTGATAAGTTAAGGAAAAGTCTCAAAAATTTGTTCTGATTATTCTCTTTTGGAGTTGTTATAAGGGATTTAGTCAAGTGTTTGTTTTTGTGTCCCAGATCAAGCTCATGTAAGCTAAGTTTGATAAGATTAGGCCAGAGTAGACTTCAGATCTTCTCTAGAGAGTATATCTCTGAGCCTATACAAGACTCCGCTTGGTGATAGTATCTTCTTTGTAACATACTTGATATGATGCTCCCATCTTAATATCTGATTGATAACTCGGCCCAAAACAGTTGACACTCTCAACCTGATTAATTTTTCCCCCAGCAATTTTGATATTTAGTTTGGCTTCACATCTCTGGCTGGGTGCGGAAAGATCATGTAGATTGTTTTACTATGATTGATGAATAATTGACTTCTTGACAGCCAGTTGGATCAGTTTGTTGAGAGGGTTTTCCATTTACATTTTTAGTAGTTTGAGGTCTAAACCAAAGTTAAACATGCTACTATTATGAGCAGGGAGAGTGATTCAAATTCTACCATGTAGTTTTTGTTTTTCATTGGACTATAATGAATAAAAATTGGTCTTGTATGATCTTATAATTTTTAAATATTGTTTTTGTTTTTACCTTTTCTGAGTTTGACTTCTACATAGTCTGTGGAACCATTGAGAGCACATGGCAGTGTGGTTGCCGCAATCAATCGAAACAGCCTTTTGTTTGGAACTTCAGCTTCACAGACTAAATTTAGTATTGATTTCATAGCCAAATTTATTGCTTTGAAGTGTAAAAATTTGAAACCTTGAATTTTGATAATGAAAGGAAAGGGGCACTTTTGTGTTACTCATTATCTTGTAAGTGATGTTTGGGAGTCACTTTGATAACTGTTTGAAACCATTGGTACTTCTTGGGTTCCGATTTCAATTCATCAGTCAAATCTCCGCTCAAATATATTTTCAGGGTTCAGTCGGGAGAGAATGGCTGAAAAATAATCAGTACTACTCTGTTATGAAATCAGTTTATTGAATTGTGTTTATATAACAGAAAATGTTAGTGTCTGAACAAAAGCCATATTGACAATGGTAAATTAAATAAGAAAAATGTTTGCCTATTACAAAGAGTTGATTCTTAATGTCTTCTTTTGAGTTGATCTAGTCTCAGTATAATTACTATAATTAAATATTTCTAAAGCTGATCTCTGAGATCAGTCTACAAAAAAGCTTTAGGTACAATCATAAATTATATAAGAAATTCATATTCTAAAAAAAAGTGATTACTCAATGAAATATTCCAAAAGCTGTCCACTGTGATCAGTAACTACTCAAAAGCCATAATTACCTACTTCAAAAAGTTAATTACTCAATAAACCCTGAAGAATTATTTCTAAAGCTCTTCACTGTCTTCAGTTCCTACATCAGAACCTTTCTCTGCAAGGAATTCTTCTAGAGACAGGCTCATGCTGCTAAGAGCCTGGTGCTCCCTGGTGGAGGAATACCGCCCACCTTCTCTGAGAGTGTCAACTTTTCCTGGCCTCTTGTTTCCCTTCTCCGGATTGATTCCCATAACACATCTGAGGAAAAAGAAGATATTTTAGGCTGTGATGAAAAACGAATGATGGAGATGTCTCAGGCAGTAAAATAAAAGAACTACATACCTTTGCAGAAACTCCAGAGTAATTTGAGCTTTAGCATCATATTGAAGATTGAAAACATAGTAAGCAGCAAATAGCATACAAACACCATCAAGTAGAGACAAGGGGCAACCACAAACTGTGCCATCCATACACATGAATAGACGATGTGGCTTAAAAATGCAGTCTCCTACAAAAAAGACAAACATGAGGATAGCGGTTCACATCAGAAAATACTAATGTATAAATTAATGAATGTTAATTCTTATTTCCTATTTTTCATCAGGTTCAGGAATAAATTTGACTCACCAGCCACAACAAGAAGTGGTGTTGGCGGAATGGATCCACCTAATGCTGTCGCCACATCTTCTTCCAGAGTTGTTTTCTGTAAGTAAAGATCAAATATTAATCGTCTGCCCATTCAAAAGTACTTTTCAACCAAAGAAAATAGGAAATATTTACACACCTCAATTAGCTTGATTAAAGATTCCTTTGCTTCCTTAAAGAAGTTTGCTGTCATTAGTACCATCCCTGTAATTTTGCATGACTTTGAATCAGCATTTTCTTCCATTAATGCTGCTTTCATTCTTCTGTTTATTTTTTTGTTCTTGCTCCTTTTTTTTCCATTAAAAACTCTAGCATATCATCTAGCTTTTCTTCAACAAAATTAGCAATTTGAGCATCCATGTGGTTGGAAGTTAAAAAATCAAAATGATGTTTCATACCATTTGCAGTAAATAAAAATGGCCATCTATCTCTTAGGCTGGCTGTAGTGTAAGCAGGGTCATCGCCATTAACAACGCTTTCATATTCTTTTCCTAGTCTCTTAGCTTTGGCGCGTGCTTTCTTGTCCTTCTCTATCAGTTCAGCTTGTCTGTTGATTTCCATGCGCTGAGTTGCATATGTGTCATCAATAAGATTGTTGATATTTTCCCAGTTCCAAGCTCTTGGTCTTTCTGTGGTAAAAATACGAACTAGCTCCATTCTTTTTTCCTCTTGTGTGTCTGGCGTCTCTCCATCTGGTAAGCGAGATACTCTCCATTTTCTACAGCCATATGCGGCTTTGATATTTGGCGCTTCAGTTTCTGTTTTTGTTCTTGGTGGGGGCCTTCTATCATTGTCAAACTTGCTTTGCATAGATGCTGTTATGCTTGTTTTTCCTACTGCTCCATTTGCCAACTCATGCTTGAAAGAACCCTCGTACTTTGCCTTCATATCTTCCATTACGTCCACAAAGGTTTGTCTTGTTGCATGTGGAACTCTATTTCGCACTTGGGTCACAATTCTTGATACTAAACTTTTTCTTTGTTTTTTCCTGATCTTTTTCCCCCGCTGTAGTCTTGTTTTGATCTTGTCATCAATATTATAAATATCCCTCCAATCAATGACGAAGTTGTGGTTTCTTCTTCTAGGTCGTCTTCCTTGGGCATCTCCGGCATTGGCATTGGCTTCCGCATTCAGATCTCGATTGACCCTGTCAGCACCACCATTGTCATCATCCTGACGATCCCTTCCTGAAAGGTAAGAAATCTGACGTAAGTTCTCTGGCTTTTGACGACTGTCAGTATGAAATAAAGGAGAGTAAACTTAGTTCCTCAGTCTAAACCGTTCCATTACCTGTGACATTGAGGACTGCGAAGGCAGCTTTGAGGATTCGTGCCTCAACAGGAAGCACAATGTTGGTAAAATCCTCCTCCCTGACATGAACAGTCAATTCAAGAGTGTTGATGCCCACAGTGTTAACCAAATTGTCAACAATATTGTTGATGTCATCATCTGCATCAGTGAGCCTTGGCAAAGCTCTTTTGATGGTTTGTGCGAACAGGTCATGAAGTCCATCCATTTTGGAACTGTAAACAGAACCACAGCATGTAAAAATTGTCTTTTGTAGTTAATCTTTGCTTTACAGAAAACATTTATGCATAGGAAGGTCAAAATTAGAAGCTGCAGGCTAAACAAAACCTAGCCCAGCTTTAAATTTCATGACTTGAAACTGGTAAATGCGAGCAGTCTAACCCACAGCAGGGCTAACCAAGCCATTATTCCACAATTTTCCACTCGATTTCGTTGATAACCTTTCTCAGTCCAGAAAACACTTAATATTTTGAAAGAAACACAACACTCACCTTTTAGTATTATCAAAACTGCAACTAGAAACAGCGTTTTGTGCCAAATTGCAAACGTTCTTCTAACTCGAATCAAATCTGACGCTCTGCAATGCGCGGCAAAAACGGTCACGTGGAGCTTGTTGGAGCCTGTTGGCCTGTTGGGCTGAGATCTGTTCCTAACAGGAAAAGGAAACCACAACTGACCATGAAAAAATGTCCTTCCCTCCATTCTCTGCCTGGGGTCGCGTATTTCAAGGGAAAACGCAAAAAAGATTAGTTCGGTAAATTATTAAAAATATTTGTAATAAAAGACAGTTTGATAGCTTCAGTTTGAACACAACAGGAATCTTTTATCAAAGACAACTATAATAATAACCTGAGAGAGGAAGGGGCCTTTCGATATCTCGTTACGCCAGTCTCCCTCCCCCACCCCCTCCCGTCCAGCACACACACATACACATCTCGTTCTCTCTCTCTCTCTCTCTCCGTCTGTTTACCTCGCACGCAAATGTTATTTTGAACTATAGGTGTTTCTCAGCCCAAATTGATTGAGGCTGTTATCTTTAGGTGTGAATTCATCTTGTCTAGCTTCGATTATTGATGTGTTTTACCAGCTAACATTACTTTTGCTTCAGCTTTCATTTACATTGCTCAAGGTAGACTTAACCTGTTGCACTTGTAAACTAATGACATAAGAAAGACTTTAATCTCTTTCCTATTTCGTATTTTTCAGTTAATCACAGCTTGCTGGAGTTGCGTAAAAGACCCCTACCATAGCAGTGCGTTCTCAAGGCATCCAACGCCAATTTTTGAATTGGTTCTGTGTTAAGTTAGTTGCTGTGTCAAGTGGTTTCTGTTGATACTTCTGTAGATGTGTAAGTAAGCAAGCTATCTTGTTTCGAAGTGATTATAGACACGCAGCGTTTATATAATAAAAAGCAACTTAAATACGCGCGGCGTGCAAATAACGCCATTTTCATTATATACACGCCGGAAAAGCTTTTCCAGCGTGTATATAATAAAAACAGCCGTTTTTTGCACGCAGTGTGTCTGCAAGCCCCCTAAAATTATTTACACGCTGGAAAAGCTTTTCCGGCGTGTGTATAATAAAGGAGGGTGTTATTTTTACGCAGCGTGTTTGTAAATCCCTATTTTATTATTTGCACTCTTGTTTTGAGGCCAGCTAGGAGATAGAGATGCCTTGGAGGAAGCCGACCGGTTGTGTCGCCTCGTGGCCGAGTGGATACATGCCTGCATGCCACTCTTTTGGCAAGGGTTCGAAACTTGGAGAATTTTTTCAAAAGATGCGTGCACATAATTTTTCGGCGACACGCGACACGCAGCGTCTGCATAACCAACGATCTATTGTTCATACGCCGCGTGTCCCTTGAATGCCGAAAAATTATGTACACGCATCTTTTGAAAAAATTCTCAAAGTTTCGAACCCTTGCCAAAAGAGTGGCATGCAGGCACGTATCCACTAGACCACGAGGCGACACACCCGGTCGGCTTCCTCCTAGGCATCTCTATCTCCTAGCTGGCCTCAAAACAAGAGTGAAAATAATAAAATAGGGAGTTGCAAACACGCTGCGTAAAAATAACACCCTCCTTTAATATTGACACACCGGAAAAGCTTTTCCAGCGTTGGAAAAGATTTTCCAGCGTGCAAATAGTTTAAGAGCGCTTGCAGACACGCTGCGTGATGGAAACAGCTGCTTTTATTATGTACACGCTGGAAAAGCCTTTCCGGCGTGGAAAGGCCCTTCCGGCGTGTACATAATGCTTTTGTGATTTTAGACACGCTGCGTGTGTTGTTCTAATGTATATATTATTGCCACGCGGCGTTTAAATAATTTTTACCATTGTTGCGTACACGCTGCGTGTATATAATATCGGCCATCTTGTTTTCCTCTGAATGTAGTGTGTTTATTTCTTAAAAAATTAATCCATTTTAAATATATATCTCTACATTTTTTAGATAGTTGAAATGGGGATCTCTACCGATCTTTGGAGAGCCAGAGTTGGTGCGTTTGCCTGTCATCGTCCATCAAGCAGACAGAGGCCTTCTGTCATTAATTCACCAAAATATCTGCATGGAGTCTTACTGTTTATCTTCCATTTCCTTTACATTTTAACGCTTCTTGTGATTGGAAATGTTGAATTGAATCCTGGACCTATCCAACTGGACAAATGTGAAGTTTGTGGTTTTGAAGCCCTGTCAGTGTATCACCATGTGAAACATCAACAAATCCATGAAGGCAGTTTTAATTTTTGTTATGTGTGTCCATTGCAACTATGCCATAAAGTTTTTAACAAACTTTCTGATCTTAAGACACACATTTACAACCATGAGTTGCCGAAAGGCGAAGAAGCAGAAGCAAATATTAATGCTGCAGCCCAATCTAATTTAAAGTGTACCTTTTGTGGTAAAGTTGAAAGTTGCAATAAGCATTGGTGTGACCACTTTTTGAAAATACACCTGAAGTCAGGTTTGGAGCAAGTCCCATGCCCACTGGTAACGTCTTGTGGAAGCACCAGGATATTCCAAACTGCGCCACAGCTTCGTACTCATCTGAGTCAGTACCACCCTGGTTGGACTCAGGATTTCAGCTTGTAAGTTCTCGGTTTCTATTTTCCTGTCGCAAATACAACTTTTAAAATGTGTGCCACAATTCTGTTACTTTTTCTTTTGTTACAGATCTGGAAACCTTCCTCATCAGAATTTGTACAACTTGGAGCTTGGTGGTGGTGGTGGTGGGCTAGAAGTTGAGGAAGACACTGGAGCTGACGATCATCAGGATGAGACAGGTGACAATTGTGGTGTGCCTTACGATTCTGATAGCTCTGACTCTGATTCTTCAGTTCAGGAAGATCCCTTTGGATACAGTGATGAACTTATTGTGGATTACATTGCCAAATTCTATGCCTATATGCAAGGGAGGCTCTTTATTGCTGCTGACAGTGTTCAAAAGATTTCTGTAAAGCTTGCTTCTTTATCAGAAGTTTTGCAAGTGAGATTGGAACAAGTCTTGGTCAAGAATTTGACTGATGCTGGGCTTCCCGAACAGAAAATATCTGACATTGTGGCAAATATTTTATCACAAGACCCCTTCTACAATGTTCACCATCCGTCATCTTTGGAATATCTCACCACAGGATATCGTAGGCAAAAGTACTACGAAAATCATTTTCAGTATGTTAAACCTGAGGAACATAATCTGAAAATCAATCCTAATGATCGATCTCATACACTTCAGTATGTTCCTATTGAAAAGACTTTGAATGTGTGGCTAAATGACATTTCTGTACAAAAAGAGATTGATCGGTCATTTGAAAGGAAATCAGTGCCAGATGTTATTCAAGACTATACAGATGGACTTGCTTTCAAACTGCGTCAACCTCCTCCAAAGAGGATTGACATAATGATATTCCAAGATGGATTTGGGTGTCCGAATCCACTTGGCTCTGCTAAGAAAAAACACAAAGTCGTTGGAGTTTATATGACCTTAGGAAATCTAAGACCGTTCCGCAGAAGTCGACTTAGGGCCAAACGGTTGTTAATGCTGGTTAACAATAAAACCTTTTCTGCCTCAGAAGATGCTGTGAAAAAGATCTTCAAAAAGCTTGTGTCAGATCTTAAAAGACTTGAAGCAAATGGGATCAATTACAAAGGTGAAAGGTTGCCTGTGCGCCTTCAATTCCTTCTTGGTGATAACTTAGGTATGTTAACAGCACTGATATGACTTCTATTCAGTTCCGTATAACATTGATCTTCTTATTTTATATTTCAGGGCAGCACACTGTTGGTGGCTTCTTGGAGTGCTTTACTACAGAATATTTCTGCAGATATTGTAAGTATACAAAATCTATGTTCAAAGAAGATCAAAACCAAGAGCCGCCTCGCTTTCGTATAGGCAAATGGAGAACTCCAACACACTACCAGAGAGCCTTGAGAAAGAAAGGGGGTTACCAATCTTACAAAGGAATCAAGAACAACTCCATATTTAACAAGTTGAAGCACTTCAAAGTAAGTGATCCAGGCCAGCCAGGATGCCTTGGACATGACCTCTTTCTTGGTGGTGTGGTTGATTTGGACCTAGCAGCTATGATTCATTATTTTGTGGAGGCCGGATGGTTTGACTACAAACTCCTCAACAGCCGCTTGGCAGAATTTACCTGCAAGTCAACAGATTCCAGGAACAAGCCTGCCCCAGTGAATGAATCAGGGAAGAAGCTTGGGGGACATGCAGTCCAAAATTGGTGTCTACTTCGTTTGCTGCCTTTTATTATAGGAGACAAGATTGCTGATACTGCAGACCCTGTGTGGCAACTGTACCTTCTGCTAAAATCAATATGTGAGTTTGCTGCTGCTCCAGCTCTGCACTTAACCCAAACTGATACTTTGAGAGCACTGGTTGACGAGTACATGTCCAAGAGAAAATGTTTGCCAAACAAGTACAAGCCGAAAAACCACTATTTTTCCCATCTGGCAGATCACTTTTTGTACTTTGGACCCTTAATTCACGTCTGGACCTTGGGTTTTGAGCATTATCATAAACAATTTAAACGACATTCCAGAGTGTGTGGCAATTTTATTAATTTACTGTATACACTTGTCAATGGTCATCAATTGAGGGAAGCCTATCAGAGCACAGGTGTTCTCTTTCCTGAAGGAGCTGTTCATAAGAAGACTTTTCCACTTGTCATTGAAAGCTATGATGAAAGAGTCAGGAACTTCATCAACTCATTGAACATTCCCAGCAGCACTCACACTCTACAGGAAGTCACGTATAATGAGATTGATTATAATTTAGGTGACTGGCTTCTGTTAGGCACTGTACCTGAAGAAGGTAGCATGTATGTAGGCAAGATTAAAGTTATTATGTATGATGATGCTAACAAGTACAGGTTCATCTTGTCAAAGTACAAGACACAACTTTTGAATGATTATGGTGTGCACAGAATTGTAAAAAAAAATGCTGAGACTTCAATTCTGAACCTTGACTTGGAAGGTGACAATCCAATTCCACAAGCAGTTTACGAATTTCAAAATAAGCGGTGCTTGTCCTTAAAACATGTCCTGCTTCCATAACTGTTTCTGGCAAGTTGACTTTTAATAAAAATTGTATATGTACTATTG